CTTTCTTTCTTTCTTTCTTTCTTTCTTTCTTTCTTTCTTTCTTTCTTTCTTCTTTCTTTCTTTTTTTAAGATTTTATTTATTTATTTGAGAGAGAGAGTGAGAGAAAGAGAGAAAGCACAAGATGGAGGCGGGTCAGAGGGAGAAGCAGACTCCCCATTGAGCAGGGACCCCGATGTGGGACTCGATTCTGGGACTCCAGAATCATGACCTAAGCCAAAGACAGTTGCTTAACTGACTGAGCCACCCATGTGCCCTAGGCTTTTTCTACTAGAAAAAATCAGTACTTAACATTTTAGGTTGAAACAAAAAATTCTAGAAAGTGATGAGGAAAACAAACAGACTTTGTTTTCCAACAGACTTTGACTAGTCAATGGAATGGCAGATAGAATGAGCATTACTGCACGTTTGTTCTGGGGTCTTTCATCTGGATGTCCGTTTAGATCTAGCCACAGGGTATGACTTCCTAGAAACAAATTTCCTTTCTGGTCAGATCTGGGGCATTATGTGGTCATTCATGCAAAGTACATGAAGTACTGTATTGAACTTTATTTTGTACTTCTGGGCTGTCTAGAGCAAATGCTCCACAGAGACTGGGCCTCCCAAAAAGCTCCAGGATTTTGGAGGGATTAAATACAGTTCTGGGGGTGTTTGGAAGAATGTGATGCAGTCGTTGAGGTTTAAGGGAGGGGATAGTGACCCAGAACTCAAGACAAGAGAGGCAGAAGTGCTGGTGGGAGGGAACTCCTCTAAGTGTACTAGTCCTCCAAAAAGGACTTGGAATTCCAAAGAGAAGTAAGAAATTCTGTCTTAAAAGAATTCTGAAATTTTGAAATATTAAAATATGCTAAGAACGGAAACTAAGGTGAAGTAAACCCAACAGTCAACTGTGCTGTTATCGGATAAATGTGGCTCCACCCACTTGAGACTTATTTGTGCCCAACGGAGCAAGTGGAGATTTCTTGTGGCTTATTTATCCCAATTAAAAAACAAAACAAACCCTTAAATGCCTATTATGTGTAATCGCTAATTGTAAGATAGGTTCTAAACTGACTCAGAAGAATGTCCGTTTTCACTTGTTTCCTATGAAGTTTAAGATCACTCCTCTAAAGAAGCCATTTCTTCTGTCCTCATTTGCATTTGCTCACCAACAACAGCAACAACAAAAAAATCCCAAGCAAAAAGCCCTTAAGCAATAAAACTACTGTCCAAGAAAAACATTTAGTTTGAAAAAGAGTTGAAAAATGTAGCCTTGGAAGAACCATTGCTTACATGGGATTGTTCAACAAATTCCTGTTGTGTGAGGTTTGGCATATACTTTCTAAAAATATAAGCATCTGGGGAAATGAGACAAAGCCCAGGTCCTGGACAAAATGAGGCACGCAGTGTGAATCTGTTAGTGATTATATCCATAATGAAATATGTGCCCAAATTTAGCAGTGCAAAATCTAATACAATACGAAAGCCCAGCAGGCACTGTCCTTACCATAATATATAGCCAACAGAGAAGGTACATATGGCGGCGAGTCCGCTGCTCCTGCTGGGATACGCATGGTGTGATGTCCTCATCTCGATTAATATAAAGGGCAAAACTGTTGTGTGCTGAAAAAGAACAGAGAGCAGGTGACACAGATTCTTATCATTGCCCCTCAATACTTGTTTTGTCTCCAGCAGGAGAAGGGATAGGGCAAATTCCTAGCAAAAGCACTATAGCAGAGAGCAGCTGTATATGGCTTGTCTAAGATGTAGGATGGACAAGAGAACATGTGATCCATCGATTGCTCTACTGGTGTTTTTCTTCTATATCTGAATTTTTAAAATTTTATTTTATTTATAACTGTCACAGGAAATTTCAGTAATTTTGAAGGATGTATAGGAAAAAAATTAGAACATAAGAAAGGAATAAAAATAACCACTGTTAATATTTTGGTAGGTGTTTTCCCTCCCCCTTGTTTATATTATTTATACATAGTTAAGATCATGCTGTGCATGGAATTTTGTTTTGGGACTATACCATGAGAAGTTTGGCGAGGGGTGCAGAGGGAGAGAGAGAATATTAAGAAGACTCCACTCCCTGTGTGTGAGTCAAACTGGGGGCTAGATCTCACAACTCTGAGATCATGACCTGAGCCAAAACCACGAGTCAGACACTTAACCAACTGAGCTACCTAGGTGCCCCAACATGAGAATTTTTAATATGCCATTTTAGAAATTCTTCTAGAATATTAACCTTTATATAGTTGCTCGAAACTCCATTTTATGGATATATTGGATATACCAAAATTATTTGGCCAAGTCCTGTTCTTGGACATTAAGTAGTAAAAGATTTTAAATTATTAATTTATGAAAAATTTCATGATGAATATCTTTCATAGAATTCTTTGAATGTTAAATAATTTTCTTATAGTTAAAGGCATAATGCCAAATTATGTGTGTAATAGCAGCAGGTTAAGAAATAATGTCAAATTAGTTTCCAGAAAGGTTGTACTGGTTTTTACCAGCAGAGTATGGATCTAGATATGATGTTTGAAGACTGACTCCAGAGAAGCTTGATGGGACCTTCGCATTTGTTTTTTGGACTCAGTGACTACTCTGATGCTCAGTTCAGTGGGCCAAGATGGGGATGAAATTTGGTAAGAAGTAAGGAAAGTCAGTTTATCCTGGTGTTGAAATTTGATGAACAGATGTAAGGGACAAAGAGCTTCTTAGGTAAAACTGGGTTAGGATATAGATTTATCTTCCAACATTGAAGTTTCTCAAGAGTAAGGAGATGGCAGAACTGAGAACTGAACCATGAGTAAGTTTGAATTCTACTTCGTACCTCCTTAATGGCCATGAAAGAATCTTTGCTCTGTTCTTCCTATATTGTTTAAATATTCAAGGAAAATTCAGGAAATTGAATATTATAATTTTCAAACTCTCATAAGTATCATGGCACATGGTCCCAGGTGGCAGATGGGCCTTGACAGGAAAACACATGGTAGTGATATCAAAGTGAGTATCTTAGACAAAACAAATTGCTTATATTTATAGAAAAAACAGAAATACAGGATTTTTAAAGAACTACAAGGATAGTGGAAATTCTTTGCTTTAAATGTTCTCCTCTAGATAACTATGCTAAATGCCAATAGATTAGTTACTGAAGTCCGGTATTCCTAAAACATCAGGTGGGTGATTCCACAGTTGGGTAGCTTTATATTTCCTTATTCTTTGCTTCTCTATTGTTTTTCTAAAACAGTATAATTAGCTCTGAAAGGAACCATGCAAAATGTACATGTGTGTTGATACAGAGACAGTATGTGTTTTAAAGATCTATTTTATTGTTTTATTCACTATAATCTAGTCACCTGAGATGACATTGGCCTGGAGTTTCACCAACAGTTTGAGAGGCCAACAGTACTTTTGCAATGGTGCATTCATGTGTAAAATTCAAATGTATAGCTAATGATAAGTCTAAGTCTTATCAAATCTTATACAGGAAAAAAAAAAACCCCAACATTCTTAACAAGAATTATTAACTTCATTTTACACTGAAGATAGTGCTAACTGACTCTGGTGACCTGTGTGAGTTATAAAACCATGGTGATATATTATTTTTTGATTTATTAATATTAAAAAGCATTTAAATTCTACCTCTTCATCCATTGCTCCAAACTGAGTAGAAAATCATCTCTTTTCTATAAAATTATATAAGTTCAAATAACTTATCTGAATATTCTGAGTTATCCAGTTATCATTCTTTTACTTAGCCTCCTTGTTGATTATCAGATGTCATACCTAGAAGGGTTAGGGTGTATTTTGATAATGCCAGACAGAAAATCTCTGAAAAATAAATATCTTTCTAGATCACTTCATTAATGGCATCATCACCACTAAAAAGGAGCTACTTGTTCCATCAATGACATAATCAGTGACAGAAGATCTTTCTGAGTGCCAGTTGGCCCAGTGGCAAATCTTGGGTAACAGCATATCATTCAGAATTTTCAGGCACTGAAGAATGTATATCTCCCTTTCTAAAAATATGTAATGCAAATGATGTTTACTGTTAAACAGTACATATTGACAAAAGTAAAAGTAGTGTAAAATATTTAGAGCAAATATAAACATTGCTCTGCAGGTAGTTAAGGTTTTATAAACTAAGAAAATGGTAAAGATCTAGAAATGGGCCTGCTGAATCTCTAAGTAACCTTTAGCAGCTCAACTGTAACCCAAAATCTGTAGCAACAAGAGGGATAATTATTTTAGAACTACAGGTACAAGAAATCCAGTTCTAATCCACTCCCAGGCAACACTGTGCTTGAATGACTTAAGAACCAGGAAGGAAATACTCAAGTCCATTCAAAACCACCTGCTGTACAAAAACAGTAGTCCTACGTTTTATTCACTGTGGTATTTGTAGAAAAGAGCCTGGCACATAGGAGATGCTCAAAAAATACTGATAGGATAATTTAATCTTCAAAGCAACATTTTTAATGGGAATTTTTAACTACATTTTGCAGATGAGATGACACACACTCAGAAAAGATCATTGTCTTGCCCAAGATCATAGAGCTAGTATGTCTGGAAGTAGGATTCAAGACCAGCTCTGTTTCCAAATGCCAGGCTCTGTTTTCTACATCAGAATTGTATTTGTCAAAGATATAGTTAAGTAATATTTGACTCAATAAACCTGTGGGAATGCATGACTTAAGATCACTTACATTGTCACTCAATTGACCAGAACTATTTTTTTTTTTTTTAAGATTTTATTTATTCGACACAGAAAGAGAGAGAGATAGCGAGAGAGGGAACCCAAGCACAGGGAGTGAGAGAGGGAGAAGCAGGCTTCCCACAGAGCAGAGAGCCCGATGTGGGGCTCAATCCCAGGACCCCGGGATCACGACCCGAGCCAAAGGCTGACGCTTCACCGACTGAGCCACCCAGGCGCCCCTGACCAGAACTATTTTTTGCTTGAGCCTCAAAATAAACAAAGAGGTCTTCACTGTAAAAAAAAAAAAAAAAAAGTATTTTGCCAAATGTGTTCTTTCCTAAGGCATATAAGCATTCTGAATAGTAACAAAACAAGCTGGCATAAAGTTAGGACTTCTCAGTGGTGCACTGTTAAAAATGGATGGAGGCAGTTCTTCCCGCTTTTGGCCCAGAGGAGGTCAAGGAGTAACTTTCTTGGTCATCTAGCCTCTGGTTCATCTGGCAGCTGCCTTTGTCATGTTGCCCAAACTCCACCCCAATGAGATCAAAGTCACAGACCGAGTGCATGAGCTGGGGAGTCGATGCCACATCTACCTCAAGCTCCAACACTGGACCTTGGGTCTGTCTCCCAAAAAAGTTGGTGACATGCGAGGCAATAGGTGACCAGAAGGGTCTGAACATGACAGTGAAACTGACCATTTGGAATAGGCCCAGATTGGGTAGTACCTTCTGTCTGTGCCCTATTGTCAAAGGCCCCCAGGAACCAGTCAGAGACAGAGGGAAGCAAAAAACCACCAAGTACAGTGAAAGTCTCACTTTTGATGAAATTGTCAACATTGCCCAACAGATGCATTACCAATCTTTATAATCAGAGAGCTCTCTGGAGCCATTAAAGAGAACCTCTGGGGACTTCTTAGTTTGTGGGCTGCAATGTTGATGGCCGCCATCCTCCTGACATCGTAGATGATATCAACAGTGGTACAGTGGACTGCCCAGCTACTTAAGAACCACAAAGGAACATACTTCAATAAAAGATTATCTGAAAACTAAAAAACAAACAAACAAAAAAAAGGTATATTCAAGAATGATCTGTGATCTGTTTCTATTTCTCAAACACAAATACCTTTTATTTTATATTATTATTTTTTACGGATTTTATTTATTTATTTGAGACTGAGAGAAAGAGAGAGAGCCTGAGCAGAGGGGAGGGGCAGAAGGAGAAATAGACTCCCCACTGAGTAGAAGCCTGACTTGGGGCTTGATCCCAGGACCCTGAGATCAGAATTTGAGCCAAAGGCAGGTGCTCAACTGACTGAGCCACCCATTTGTCCCCACAAATACATTTTAAAGTTTCCTCAGGTTCCTCAGATAGACTTTGAATGAGTAAAGAAAGATAAAATCTGGTTGCCAGAGGGGGTTCTTAAGAATTGCACTGGACTGTTTTCTGCAGTGCATTGTCAATAGAACAATTGCCCACAGCGGAGTTACTGAGGTTCTACTGTTTGTTTGTAAGTGCTAAGTCAGATGAAAGGTTGAGAGCCCAATGAATAAACCTTTGATTTAATCTATCAACTCTGCCCTGGAAAGCACTGATCTAAAATATAAGCAGTTCTCCTATCCCAAGCTCCAGTTTCCAGTGCCACTAATTTTAATGAGACTGTGTTCAAAAAATTGCGTCCAAAAAGGGAAGCCCAAATCCATCTTGGTTTTTGGCATCCTTTGTGGATTTTCTTAATGAGGTTCAGGTGTGTTTCCATTATGGCTCAGTGATTACCACTACGAACTGACCAGCATTCCAAGGCAAAGGTCAGTCCATGGAGGATCCACCAGGTGTTGTTACCTCTGCACGGAGACACCCAGCCTTGAGCAGAGGGCTAGATTCAAGGAGGGACCCATAATTCAATTATGATGTG